GCTTTTGTCTTGTTTCCAGCCAAAATATCTAAAAATTCTTAAATCAAGAAGGATTTTTCTAGACAAGTCAAAATTATTGTCTTGTTTTCAGAAAAAACAAGTCGAATTTAAGTGAGTTTTTGCTTGAAACAAGCTAAATAATCTGCCAATGGGGTAGGAAAAACAATCTTGTTTTCTGTTTGAAATAAACTTAGCTTTTGTCTTGTTTCCAGCCAAAATATTTAAAAATTCTTAAATCAAGAAGGATTTTTCTAGACAAGTAAAAATGATTGTCTTGTTTTCAGAAAAAACAAGTCGAATTTAAGTGAGTTTTTGCTTGAAACAAGCTAAATAATCTGCCAATGGGGTAAGAAAAACAATCTTGTTTTCTGTTTGAAATAAAAAAAAATCCTTCTTGATTTAGGAATTTTTAGATATTTTGGCTGGAAACAAGACAAAATATCTAAGATAGAAAAGCATTTTTTGCAGTGTAGCATCTAGAGGAGTGGAGAGTAAAAGAGGTTAGTAAGTGTATTAATCCTAAATAAAGACATCAGTACTCATAACTGCACACCGTAAAACATTTAGTGTTTCTTGTTTTGAAACTCGATTTAGTAAAGTGTCATTGTATTATTCAAAATGTAACACCTACCTCAACAAGACGCCAGGATAAAATGTGACGAGTTTTACTCGAAATAAGTCTAGAGTCACTTCATGGTTTTAGGAAACAAGCTTGATTTTAGGGTCTTTCTGAAAGGAAATGAATCTCACTTTCTCCCTTCTGCTTTTTGTTTCCGGCCATGCCATGCAGACACAAGGAGAAGTTTAAAACGGTCTAAAATCCGCTATTACGTCAACTGTGCATTAGTTCAACATCTTTTGTGCTGACCGAGCCAAACAGAGTTTGTGACTCAAAAACCACTGAAAAAAAAACAATGGTGAAACACATTTGACCTTGAATTTAAATATATGTGTTTAAATAGCATCAATGTTCATTTTAAAAAATGTAGCGCTTTGAACAATCTATGTTGTTTCAAAGTATCTTTATAGAAAATTCTGCCTTAATGTCTGAAAGCACCCAGCGAGCAGCCAAAGACAACTGTGGCAAGAAAAAAAAAAACTTTAGGTTGTGAAAGGAAAAAAAATAAAACCTTCAGCTTGGAGAAACTGGCATCCTTTGGCAGTACAAAGAATGAACATACTGTATGATAAATATCATCCTATTACACAGAACGTGTTATACAAGTCATGAATAAATATATGATTTGTTCTCACTGCACATTTTTGGTGATTCTCAAACATAATGCTAAAAGACTGTATATCTTAGCTGCCAAGTCATCAAGTGGACCCACTTCTGAATGATCACTGGAAGGCAGCCTTTGTTTTGTAGCTCTTGTGGTGTATTTTGAAGGATGCATATAACTGTATCTTTTGCATCCTCCAGTCACCCATAACCCTTTGTACACATTCCAATTCACAATAAATAAATAAATAAATATTAAAAAAAGAAAGAAACAAAAGTGGCTTCAGACAGAGACGTAAAATGGGTGTGTCAGATTGTAAAAGTTGTTTAGGATGCACAGCTTTGCAGTAGATATAATCATGTAGTATGTGCTCTGTGTGCACCTGAGTATGCAATTTCCTATGAATTCATACATGATTACTGACTGTCACAGCTACTCCTAATCATATTTTAACAAGCTGCAGCCTTAATGCAGAGTTTTACTCACAAAAATTATATTTGCAAACATAAATAGATATTTATTTAAAATGTTTTCTTAAACATTGTCCATGGTGGCATGCAGAGTAGCATATGGAGCTCAGAATGAAAACAGAGCCGGGTTGCACGGTTTTGACTGGATTGCGGAATAGTTTTTATTCATGCAATGTTTCTTGCGCCATAATTGCTTCGTTAATGCACTGTCACAACCATAAAATGCACGATAATGACTAAATATTCAGCATCTCAGGTGAGGGTCACAAAAACATGCGTGATTAATTATTCCGTTTACATACATAAATACATACATAATTAGGTAATGCATTTTTTTTGTCTTCATCCAAATGTGTATTTTGAATTCTTTTATAACTATATGGTATTGCTCAAGCATTATTTAATACATTTTGTGGAAGGCTTTTATGATATAAAGGATATAATAATCAAAAGAACTTGGAGCAGTGGAGCAGGAGCATGAGCACACATCTCACAGTGAGCAACACCGATGAGCAGGAACAGACTGAAGGGTAAGAAAGGAGGATTTGGGAGACTTTGACAGGTTTAGATCACTTCTGGGTACAAATTTGTCCCCAAAATATGTTTGGTTAGTTAGTCTCACACACACACACACACACACACACACACACACACGCACACACACTCACACACACACACACACACACACACACACTCCTGTGTGGCATGTTTAGTATGGCTGACTTGGACTGTTGTCATTATTCATGACAGTGTCAACAAACTGCTGAGTCTGTGTATATTTCTTACACTATAAGTCGCATCAATAATTATTTTTATTTATAATTTTTGTTACAGGTGCAATTGAGAATTGCATGCCAGTATCTGTAGTAATTAGATTGTATGCATTACTGAAAACCAATGACAACAAAAGGTTAATTTACTTTGCAAGGATTAATAATTGTTCACACATGCTCTTAACACTCTCTCTTAAATCTTAATGTTATAAAAACAAAAATAGCCAAATCATTAAACTGTTGACAAAACAGTCTGATTCTGCTTGGAAACCAGTTTCCTAATGTTTCTCAGACTTCCTAAAACAGTTTTACCATCCCATATGTGAGCAGTTTCTATTAAAACTTAAGTCACTGTCACAGATCTGGACAAGCTATAATGAAACAATATCACTCACAATGTTGATTTGTTAATCTTGCCATCTTGTTAGTGAAAATCAAGTTAGTGTAATTACACTGTTATTGCATGTACACACTAGTGTGAGTATTTCAATCAACACGTGCATCAAAATGTTTATTTATTGAAGATTCTCTTCAATTTTGGCATGATGACAGTCAGTTGGTTTCCATTAAAGCATTTTTTATTTCTGCAATGAAATAAATTATTGTAAGTATGCTAACATGCAGTGCATTCTACATCTTTCATTGCTAATTAAAATAAACACAGATGGCAGTTTTCTGTCCTTTCCCTACTTCTCTGTCGCCCGACTACGCCTCGGAGTTCATGTTAATGTCACTGTCCATAAACAAATCTTATTGATATTAAGCCTTTTTCTCTTATTTTTTTTAAACACGGATTTAAAGAGTTCAACAGCTTCATGTCTATCATAACCTGCTCCTGCCAGACAAACTGCTGAAATACTGGACGTTTGTATAGAAAAGAAAGGAGACATGTGTCTCTTTCCACAGCCCTGAGGAGGACGTTTCATCTGTCTTTAAATAGACAACGCTGAGCTATGAAACCATTGAACGATTGACCTGTTCATGCACAAGATAATTCAGATAGACTGTGAAAACTATGCATGGAAATGTTGCATAGAATTGGCAAAAAGACAAAGCCTCTTAATGGTTAATGCATACTCAGTGTCTCATAACATGGCCCTTAAGAGCACATTTTCTCTGGCAGACGGTCAGACTAGTAAAGGCACATAGAAACCTGAATGAGTAGGCAGGTCTGTGTTTGTTCAGTGTTGGATTACTACTTCTGCAAAAATGTTGGCAGCTCGCTCTATGAACAGATTTATTTTTCCATAGACCCTTCTCTTTGCTCAACACAGTCTGGAGATTCTTCTACAGTAATAACTGTAGCAACAGAAGGTAAGGAAGGTAGGGGTCAAAATAAATGTTTCCAACTCAGCATAAATATAACCCACAGAATCTCTTTTTGGCTGAAATCCATTATGCATATGCTTGCTCAGGCTACCTGTAAACTTCAGACATGCAGTATGTACCGAGGTACAGCTGTGCCGATCATAGAATAAATTCAGAGCATGTACATCAACTGCTGTCAGTTACAATGCATACCTCATTCCTGGCAACACATTTCTGAACTTTTCCTAATCAAACACACCTGATTCAGCCCATCAGCAGAGACTCCAAGACCTGAAATCGATGAGTCAGATAAAGAAGAAAATATCCACTGTTGGTGTCACTCCACTAATGAGTATTTGTTAACATCAATTAAGCTGCTTCACTTTGCTTCCCAGAAGGTAGTAAGCCATATATCAGGAAAATACACAAAACATAGAGGTCTCGAGAACAATTTAGAATTTTGGTAAAACGTATAATAAATATATTTAATTATAATTATAAATATATATATATATATACTCTTTGCTTGTATTGATTAAACATAACTATTGAACAGTTCCACTGTTGCACAGGAAAAGATACACATCATAGCAATGCAAGATGCTATTATACCTCTAATAAAAGATAAGTAAGCAATGGTTTAAGAGATCAAAAAAAATAATTTTAGTTCTACAGCTGTTGTTATTTTTTTTATGTGCAAGTTCATACAGTGTATGGTTCCACAAAATGTTTTACTGACACACAAACACAGAGACTTTCACATATTGCCATCACCAAATACACACTGTGACCTTCGTGCCTCTCCTTCTTCAGCTTCAGTGGTCAAATATCCAGCACAGACTCGCGAGTAACCTGACATGCGTAGGTGGGGTGGTTAACATCTGCCTGATAGACGAAGCGACAACTTGACCTCCAACTACTGTAAACACATGTGTCCACAGGCTATTCATCGACACAGGACGAACCTCACTGGAGATGACAAGTTACAAATACTTGGAGCTACGGAAGTGGTCATTTGAGGTATCATCAACGATTAAGACCTAAAACCTGAGTATATTTGTGTTGTGTGATGCCATCTGCTGGTGACCTACTGTACACCCATCCGCGGGCCAGTTGTAGAAATCATCCAGTGTTATTCTGTCAGAATTTCCATTTTCTCAGACAGTTTGAAAGTCAAGACTCCAGTTCCCATGACAGGCAATAAATCCACACCTCAGCACTTTTACTCCAACCATAAACCCCGACCTACCCACCGCGGTTCTAAGGGTGAAAGGTCACTCCATCAATAAAGTCTGTCATGGACACATGCTTTGTGGCTCCCTCTTAATTATGGTTTTGGGGTATGGTTTGAAGTTATCAAGATTTGGGTGTTGACGAGACTGAAAATATATTCTCGTCAGGCGTCTATTAAGTGTGGATATTTTAAATGTAGGATAGCACCTTATTTAAGCCATAACCACTGAACTTCCAGGTTTAATTCCTGATAGGAATGGCACATAGATTACACATTCGGTCAGCATAACTAGCTCAAATTCATCTGTTTTCCTAAAGACTGCTGGAGCAGTTTCTACTCTAAATAAAGGTGTCATAATTTTTTAGTACATATGTGTGCTTGGCTTGAAATGAAAATGTATGTATGTGCTTGAAAGCAATTGATTCAAAACTATTGCCTTCTCACACATGGAGATTAAAATGACCTGTCTCCCTAACGGATGTAAGATATAAATCCGAATTTAAGCTTATATTTCAACATCTTCATGTATCTTCACTCCATGTTCACTCCAAAAGGCATATAAGATCCTAGGCTTCATGAATGCAGGCAGAATGAGGTACTGAGTAAAAGATGAATCTGTCCCTTGTGTCTGAAGATCAGAAGTGTGGATTCTCAAATCCTATCGTGAAATTCCAGGGGTGGTGGTGAAAGCAAAGGTCGAAAAGTGGGAAGCCATGGAATGTTACTTGGGGAAAGGAAAACCTGGAGAGCCTTCAGTTTAAACCAAAGCATGGGCCTCCTTCCCGCTCTTGGAATCATTCTCCTCCTACGTGTGTGTGTGTGTGTGTGTGTGTGTGTGTGTGTGAATATGTGTAAGCGCATGCGTGCATGCATCTGTTTTACATAACTGAACCTTTCTGTGAGAACACAATCTTTATAAATGTTTAAACCCTAAAAGCAAGAGAGGAAAACACATTTATTATTTTTCGACTCAGTATAATACTTGGCAGAAGAAAATAAGCTTCAGAGACAAATATAAATATATAGTCAAAGGAAAGCTGTTGAAGCTAACCCAAGAGGGCCATCATAAGCATCTGTCTGTGACAAGCCTGGTTGTTTGACCCCGGGACTCTTCTCAAAAGGATAATGGGAACATTGCATGTTGAGGTCCCATTATAAATAAATGTCTTCAGCGGTGAACAGAAGCAAGTAATTTTCACAAATATGTTCCACCACCATAGTAAGGCACGCTTAATATCCTTACCAAAAATAACACTCAAACTACAAAGAAAAAACAAACAACTAGTGACTAAAGTGTTCAGTATCGCACATTATCTCAAAGGATAAGAGAATTGTGCGTATTGCTCAAGCTCAAATGGTACCAGGTTTACAATACTCCAATCTTGTTATAAAAGCTCAGTCATTTAGTATTGCTTTTATAATTTTATTATTTTAGATTGTCACAAAAATAAACATGGTAATTAGACAAATCATAATGATTTGATTCACTCTGATTTAGTAGAAACACACAGCATGTGCACCCTCCATGAAACAGCCTAACCATGTCCTAAAACACTTTCTGAGTGAAAATTAGAAATTAGAAATGATGCACTATAGTACGCCAATATCATAATATATAAAATTATGTATTTACAATTCAATATGGACATAAAACATTTTTTTTATATATATTTCAAATACATAATTCCTCACAGTTCTTCTTTTTTCTCTCAAACAGCATACAGTAATTACCCATATTATGTCTATTAAACCTTTGCTAGACCTTTACACAACCTGGAAAACCAAAGGAACATAATTGTATGAAACAAGGTTGTTGTTTTTTTTAATTGCCTTTTGAATAGTCACAGTGGTCATGAAGTCATGAAGTCATGACCAAACTTATATTACTGTCATATATGTTGTTTTGGTATCTCTGCCCAGGTAATTGAAGGCTATACACTTGTATGTACCAGAATGCACTCCTGTGGGGTTTCGTATTATAAGAGTCCCTTGTGCGTGGAGAAGCTCACTGCCTACAGGTCGTTCCTTTCCAGTTGTAGAAAGAATAGATCGATCTGGTAGCTCCCAGGTTATCTCTGGTGTAGGTATTCCATTAGCAACACAATTAAGATAAACAGTAACTCCAGCCACTCCTCTCACAGTTGGTGGCGGCCCATTAGTGATCCGGGGTGGATATGCAACAATTACGACAGGCACAGAAAGAATCGCCTCACCAGCATCATTTTTTGCTCGGCACACATAATTCCCACGATCATGTATGATCGTCTCATGTACAACAAGTGTCCCATTGTCCATCAAATGGTAACGTCCACTCGCCTGTGGACGTGCAAGAACAAAACCTCCTGGCGTGGTCCAAGAAATGCTGGGCTGGATTCCATCTGTCAAGCAATGTAGGAAGAGGGACTGTCCAGAAATCCCTCGAATAATCCCCTTTGGCCGTGTTAGAATATAAGGCTTTTGAATCACCTCAAAAACGACCAGCTTCTCAATATAGCCCACTTTGTTCTTTGCAGCACAACGGTATTTACCAGTGTCCTCTATGCTGGAGTTATAAATAACAAATGTGCCATCGGTACCCAGGTGATATCTTGAGCCCTCGAACCCAGGTGTTCCAATGAACCGAGTTCGACTGGGGAGTGTCCATATGATCTCAGGCATGGGTTGCCCATCAGCAGAACAGTTTAACACTGCAGTTCTCCCTACCCGAGTCACCACTCTCTCATTAAAAGGGTTGTTAAAAATAGGCCTCCTGAGCTTGTCGGTCACTTCTAGTTGAACCAACATAACCGCCTCACCTCCATCATTCTGAGCCATACAAATAAATTCTGCTGAATCTGATGGCCTAACATTACGGATTTCTAGTGTACCATTGCTGTGGACATTAATCCTGCTCCCGTAATAGGGAGCGGTAAGAAATATATTGTCAGGCATGATCCATGTGATCTTTGGTACTGGATACCCTTCAGCTTTACAGTCTATTAGCTTTCTAGTATATTTGACTGCTGTATCTTTCATCACAGTTCTATTTTGATTGAAGCCATTGATGATGGGTGGGTTTCCATCAATGTCTAGTTTATATACTTTATTCTCCTCACCTGCAGCATTACGAGCCATGCAGACATACTCCCCAGCATCAGCTAATTTAACATTTCGTACATCAAGGGAACCGTTAGCATGCACTAAGTAACGCTCATTAGATGCAGCAATCATGTCTTTGGACGGAAGCATCCAAAAGACCTTTGGCTTGGGCTCACCTATAGCCTTACAGTCAAAGCGAACGTTTCCACCTTGCTTCACTTTGGCATAGGAGAGATTTGGGCGCTGAATGCGAGGCACTGCAGTTACCACACTTATGTGGACATGCATCTTGTCCTTACCCAGTTTGTTTTCAGCGTAACAGGTGTAATCACCTTCCTCATCAGAACCCACTTTATTCAGGTACAGTGTTCCATTATTAAACAAGGTGTACCGTTTGAACTGATCGCCTTCTGTTCCATCTGCTTGCAGGGCGCTATTAACCAAGGTACCATCAGGAAGTCCCCAAGATATCTCTGGCATGGGGACACCAGCAGCCACACAGTCCACTTTTAGGTCATTGCCATAAGGCACTTGCTTCCTGCTAAAGACATTTGGTTCAATCCGAGCTGGTTTCATAGACACTGACACTCTTAATAGCTGTACATCATCCCCAACTTTGTTGCGTGCAACACAGAGGAAGTCCCCAGCATCTTTTTCATTGACTGATTCAATGATGAGGGTACCATTTTCCAAGACTTTGACATGGCTGCCCATTCTGAAATGAGAATGTGATATTTTTAACAATAAGTGGCAAATGATGTAAAATTAATGCATGTTTACAAACGAAATTCTAACTGTTCACTGTTGGTTTGAGAACATTCGCAAAATTGTCGATGTAGGATAAGCATTTATCTGCTCGTGTTTAATGCTTCTGCCCTAATCGAGATTCACTCAAATTGTTCATTCCAGACTTAAATCGATTAGGGGAAAAATAAAAAAAGGGAAATTTAAAATTGGTCTGGAAAACCCATAAAAAAAATATATATATATTTTTTTTAAATCTGTAATTATTATTATTTTTAATTAGTTATGTTCAGTTCTAAAACGTCTCATCAACAAGACGTTTACAAATTTTGAAAATCCTTGTTCAGTATTCACAAATGGCTACAAAACTCAAAAGGTGTGGGGAATCTCTAGTTCATTCAGAGCTAGGGGAAAGTATTTTGCCATTAAGACATTGCACACTTCAGGTTTAAGTCTGTACAATCAAACAAAAACACTTGTCTTTTGTAATAGCGTACCTGTGTGACTGGTCCACAAGAGCCTTGGAAGGAAACCTCCAAATAATCTGAGGTTTTGGGTCCCCAACTGCAGAGCAGTTCAAATGAAGGCGGCCACCATATATCACATCAGTTCTTTGTTGTGATGTCTCAGTGATCTGAGGGGCAGTTTCTGTCCTCTTCACAGACAGAGTAACAACACGCCGTTCTGATCCCGTAGAGCTTGTTGCAATACACTCATATTTTCCACTTTCAGTTATTTGTACATTTCTCAAGTAAAGTGTACCATTTCCAAAAACAGAAACTTTAGTGTGTGAGTAAGTTAGAGGTTGTACTGTTGTGCCATCATGTAAGACCCAGTGTGTTGTGGGTCGTGGGTCACCATAAGTGCTACATGCCAAAAAGAGATTCTGACCAATTTCAGCCCTCACCAGCTGCCGTTTTTCTTCCAGTATTGCAGGTGGTGCTGCTACCACCTGTAGACGAACAGTGGCTGTGTCAGTACCAGCTGGATTACTTGCAATACACTTATAATGTCCACGATCTAAAACGGAGACCTTTTGAATGGTTAGTGTCCCCATCGTGGTTACTGTTACTCTGCCATGCTCAGTGATCGAACCTTTAACTTCGGTGTGATTAGGTAGAATCCATGACACAATTGGCACTGGTCTGCCCTCTGTCCTGCATTCCAAGTGCACGGTTTTCCCAGCAAGAACCTTGATATCTCTCATCTTTTCCTCCAGTATCCGGGTGGGATAGGCCACAACTGACAATGTAACCACAAGCTTGTCAGAGCCATACTCGTTCTGGGCAAAACATATGTACTGTCCTTGGTCTTTGATGTTTGCTTTTTGGATGAACAATGTTCCATTCTTCAGAACCTCAAATTTACCCATTTTACCTTTAATGGTCAACATATTACCTGATGATATAAAAAATGATCAGTATACCAGAATGTAAAATAAATATGAAAATAACAATTGATAATGTTCGTAAGCTTTGATGGTTTAACTTTTGTACCTGTAGTAGATGAGAATCGGTTCCAGCTGATGATGGGCTCAGGGTTGCCAGTGGCCTCGCAGGGGAGGAAAGCATCAGAGTTTGACAGAACAGTAAAACTGGCAGCTTTTCCACCATTAATCCTTGGCTTGAAGGTAATATCCCTCAAAGATGAGGTGTCATACCTTGTAGAGTGATCGAATGTATTCAGATCGACAGTACTACTACCGTATGGAAATGGAGTGAACGTATATGAAGTTGAACTAGTCATTGCGTCTGAGGTAACTGTTCTACTCTGAGGTTTATCAGAGGCTGTAGTGGGTTTAGTGGTCAAAGTAATGACCTCTGGGAAACTGGTGGTAGAAGACATATTAGAGTCCCTCCATTCCTCACCTGAACCAGTACTATCAGGTGATGAAGACCTCTCTGGTTCTTCAAGGGGTGTATGCAAAGGCCTTAATATTGCACCACTGTGCTTAGTTTGTGAAGCTGTAGTTGTGGATTTGGTGGTGGCAGGTGTGGCAGCAATTTTAGTCACTGGGATAACTGAGGATTCTGTGGTTGTTTTTTTAATGGGCCTTCTCCTTCTGGAGCCTCGTCTGTGATAACCAGGCTTTTGATTTCTCCACAACCCAGTTTGAGAACCTGAGAACTTATTCTGAACAGTGTCTTGCTTTAGTTTAGTTCCCATCGTTGGTGGGGCTGCTAGAGTTTGAGAAACTCCCATTGGCTCTGTGGTTGTGGACAGCTCACGGAAGGCTGGAAAGCTGAAAAACTCAGCTGTTGTAGATGGGGTTATGACATTGTCTGAGAAATTTGTTTTTATAAAGGAGGACGAACCTGAGTCTTCAAATAATGTCTCTGGAATATTGTCATTTTCTCTTGTCATTGGAGAAGAGACAATCATAAGTGTACGCTTCAGTTCTGTAGTAGGTACTGTTGTTGTTGCCTTGTAAGGGTCTTCTGTTGATGCTGAGGTCCTCTGTTCCTTATCAGTGGACAGTGTAAATGAGTTTGATGCTTGATGCTTGCTAAGGGTTTCTTTCATTTCCCCCTTGTTTCCAAACTGTCTATGCCACTGAATCTTCTCCTGTGTAATTTTAGAAGACATTGTCATTGTGGATGTGGTTGTAAAAGTTAGTTCTTTCTCTATTGAATTAAAATAACTTTTAGAATCAGTTGAATCCTCAGAAATGGTGGGCACAATAGTTGCTGACATTTGTGAATCAGTGACAGCGTAAATCTTTTCAGAGCCTGACAAACGAGTTGCCATGCCAGGTTTTTCTGTTACTCTCAAAGAGGAAGATGACATGTGAAACCTAGCTGTATGGTTGACCAGGCTTTGATCCACTGATGTTTTGCATTTATCTGTAGACACTCCAGATGCAACTCTTTTCCCATCGCCACATACTGTGATTGTGTCCACAGTGTGTGAAAATGTGAGATTGTCTTCCTTGTTTATAGAAAGGTGTTTGAATTTATTGAGTAAGGATTGTATATCTGTAATTTTGCTGGGCCGAATGATCCTACGTCTGCCATGAAAGTTACCTTTCTTTCCTGATCGCATCTTTTTGGAGGGAACAATTTGGATTTGGTGTTTGGAGATGATGGTGGACCCAGGAAGGAGCTCTGACTTGATTCTTTGAGTGGTCTGAAATGTGATCTTTTCTTGGTCTTCCTTGGTTGTGGTGAACGCTGTGAATATGGCCTGACTCTTAGGTTCCACATAGGTGACATTTGGGCCCTGGGAGTTGTAAAGTGGTGTTGTTCCAGTGGTAACATCTTCTGAATCCCCAGAGAAGAGAAGCTCTGCAGTTTCTGAAGGTCTGTTTGTTGTTTTCTCATATATGTGGGTTTTACCATCACTGTGACTTAATATGTAATCTGACTTGGTTGTATTCAGGATTGTCTCATCTCTTTGAGTACCATAATTACTCAAAGCATAAGTGGCAATTATTGGGGTAGCAGGTGTCTGAGTATGAGAATGTGATGTTGTTGTAACCAAATTAGTTTTCTCATTTGCTCTTAACATGTTACTAGTGCTATCATGCTTTACTTCACTGAAACCACTGTTGCCAGTTTTGTAAGTCTCTGGGATTTTAATATCTGTGATTTTAATGGTGCTATGCTCAAGTGTTTGACTAGTTGTCATTACAATAAATTCATCTTCAGATATACCATCCCCTGAGGTTGCATCATTGTCATCAGAGGGTGTTTTAGACACCTCTAAACTTATTGTCTTTTTATGTGCTTTTTTAATTTGAGACATATCAATGAAAGTGGCATCTTCTTTCTGGTACTTTTTATTAAAGACTCTTCCAGAGTTCCTTCTATTTCCTTTTCTGCCAGTGGGAACTTTATGAAATCTGGACTGTAGCCAAGTGTATGGTCTGCCTGAGGTAATGCTTCTTGACTCCTCACTCACCCTGCGAGAGAGATACCTGCTTCCAAGTTTCTGGCTATCATCTATAATTTGTACAACATGATCACCAGATTCCTTTGACTCTGTGCTATTTGACAAATCACCATGAACAGTTACGTGAGAAGCTAGCAAATCTGCTCCAAGAACATTTCCAACTAAGCATCTGTAAAATCCGTTGTCTCTGGATGTCAGTCCATGTATTACCAAAGTGCCATTTCTGTAGAGCTTTCTGTTGCCATAGGACTTGTCTAAAATCGTGTGGTCAGGAAGTATCCAGTGAATGGAAGCCTCTGGATTGCTAGCTGATGTACAATCAAGACGCAGGTTCTGGCCAAGGGTATGAGAGATTCGGATCCCATTAATCTCTTGTTCTTCAATATTCCGGGGAAGCACAGTGACCCTGAATGCAAGAACATCTGCATCCAGGTAGTTAGTTGTAATGCAATGATAGACACCTGTGTCTGAGATTTCAACAGATTTTAAAGCAAGCCTTCCATCATAAGCTACTACAATCCTTTGATCCTCGCTGTTGTATGGTGCACGTAACTTACTTCCATCTGGTAGAATCCACTCTATAATGGGTTTAGGATCCCCAAAGGTCTGGCAGTTCAATTCAATCACTCCACCAACAAGGACTGAGTGTTCAGTCTTGGTCTGATTGTCCATTCTAATCATTGCCCAGCCGTACTGGTCTCCTCTATTCTTGCTGCTGTCAACATCTATTTGAACATTGGATAAATACTTGATAGTAAGGTTCGGAAATGTTGTTGTGATGCGGTCCAGCTGTAGTAGGACTGTACTTTGCATTAACCATTCATGATTGGCTTTCATTTTTGCTTTAATTTCTGTAAAAATATCATCTTCCGTTGATGCTACTTGCTTGTATGTGTAAACTGTATCTGGCTGCAGAGAAAGTAGTACTTCTCGCTCAAGTCTCATCGGGGACTCGCTATACATAGCCAAAATATTCCAAATCTGGCGTATATTATCATAATCAATGTTGCAGACCAGCAATGTAGAAATGATCGCACTAAGGCCAGTTAAATCTTTTCCATTCGGTCCAAAGTTTGCAGTTAAGTTTTCCATTCCTGTAGGTCGCTGCACAACACATGCTATCCAGGCATCGTTGTGGAATTGATCTGTGATGTTCATTTCCAACATGCCAATGGGTTCAACAAAATCTTTAGGATAGACTGAGGTATAGCCACCATCATCCAAGGTAAAATTGCTCTGTTTCAAGTGAGGATGAATCCAAGGTCTGCTGCATGTGTAGCTATCCCTTTGCAAATGCGCAATGCTGCTGCCTCTCAAGGTAATTGGGAATTCACAAATGGGACACTGTTCTTTGAGAAACTTCCTGTCTCTTTTGCATTTTAGAACACCTGTAAACGCAAAATTAATTCTCATTATTCCATGGTCTGTCTGAATACTGGATTCTGATTGGCTGGCAGGTATGCAGTAAAACCGTTTAATGCACAGGTAGTTCCAAGTCAGTTTAATCACCGTTCTATATTAATGGGCTGCTTTAATTGATGCACACAAACCCACACTCATCACTCGCACACACACACACACACACACACACAGAGAAAGAAAGAGAGAGCGAGAGCGAGAGAGGACAAGAGAGTCGGAGATTGCAGATTGCACTGCGCACATACATGAACTTGTAGTCAACGCTTCCCCGCAATTTTTATTAATAAAATAGCCTAGATACTAGATCGCTACATTATATTACTCAGCAACAAGGTGGCGCTGTTTGTGAAGTAATGTTCAATTGTAATGCGCAGACGCAGCATGCAAAGCACACACAACTGTCATCTCTTTCTCTCTCTCTTTCTCTCTATCTCTCAATTGATAATTAATTGAAATAAATGCTATAATTCATTCAAATAAATGTGATCTTACCGCACTATTTCATCTCTGTGTCTGATTTGAAGCGGGCAGAATGCTCGAGCTAACGTGCCATAACTGACGAAAATAACTGTAATTTTTCTGGTCAAATATTGCACTGCAAAGAGCAATACTAGTTTTAACTTGTCTATAACTTGGCAAATGACCCTGGAATAAGCGGGATAATCAATGGCTTGCCCTGCATTAAAGGATTTTAAATGCACTCCACACTGCGTCGGGTGGTTCTTGGCCTCCACGTCGTGCATTTAAAATCCTTTAATGCACAACAAACCATTGATTATCCCTTACTTATATGTTCATGTATATATGTAAATAAAAGCTATTTTACTTACTAGAACGTTCCTTATGCAACTGTTTTTGTCTTGCTATATTAACAAAAAAAAATTTCTGCTATTTTTAACAGAACATTTGTTAAATATAGACCAGAATCTCACCAGGGTGTTTTTCTAGCCACTGTTCAAGCCAACCCATCCGACAATCACATGACCAGGGGTTTCCACTGAGGAAGAGATTCTCTATCTTGTTGCAGCCAGAGAATATAGTTGCAGGCAATGTGGTTAAAGCATTGTCTGACAAGTAAATAGTCTTGAGAGATGACCATTTCAAAATCTGGCTGAACCGCAGTGATATAAAAGTGTCTGGATGAAGCTGTTGGAGCAGGTTTCCCTCAAGATTAATCAACTGCAGCATTTTTAATCCATAAAAACTCTCTGGGTGGATGAAGGTAATGTGATTATGGTCCATATGAAGACGTACAAGATTGTCCAGGCCTCTAAATGTGTCCTTGTTGAGCTTCTCAATTCTGTTATAACTCATTTTCAGAACCTAGAAGTAGATAAAAAATACTGTTAAGACATGAAAATAAAGTGTCTCTAATTTTTAAAGGTCAGAGTCAGGGGGCAATTCCAGCATGTAAGTCCAAGGCAATGTAGTCTCAGCCTCAGATGGCTGTCCCACAGACTTCATGGACATCTACCAGTTTCAAAATCAATGGTTGACTCCTACACAATGTCTAGAGTCAATTGTGATATGATATATATTGTCATAATAATTAAAATCAGTTTGACTACACATTATATTTTAAATTGTTTCTGTAATCTACTCAAAATGCCATGGCTTGCTATTCCTCTGGTATGACTGACTGTGAAATTTGTACATTATTTATTAATGCATTAAATATTACTCAATTCAAACTCAATTACAAAAAAAAAAAAAACTTTGAATTTGTCTTATTATTGGATGAATATTTATTAGCAATCATATATATATATCATCTTGGCACCATCATCCTTTTGAAGTATAAGATACATAATAACACACAAACTCTCTAATGTATCCTGCTTTTGTATTTCAACTATTTCAAAATGTCTGGAGTTCTGGAGACTTCTGTGTTCTGTTCCATTCTCTTGCATCCTAAATAAATCATCATGCACTAATACTGTTATAGTAAGTGATTTATATTGTCAAGTCATCAGAGACTCTTCCCTTGGATTCACAGAAGATGCATTTGATATGCATGTTAAAGGCAAATAAACACTTGTATAGCTTGACTGCTTGTGATATTGATGTAACCGTGGGCCAGATGTGATCAGAGATGGAACAGGACAGCAGCAGTACGTCATCTCATCTTCACAATAAAAGAAAAATGAACATGCCAACAAACTCAGATACACAACATGACATCTGATTATTTTTCAGTGTCTTATGTAACCAGACGTTTACATGCAGCATGAAGGTTGGTCCTCATTCAAGCTTATTCTGGCCAAGAATGCCCATTTTGAAAAGAACAGATTGTCTGAATAAAGATTGTCCAAAGAGATGAATTTAGTATTTTACCTGCAGAGATGTGAGGTCATGGAACGAGCCGTCCTCAGCAGTCTTGATAACATTACTGTGCAGCATTAACAGCTCCAGGTTTTTTAGTCCAGAGAGGTCGTTCATTTTAAGAGTTGATAAACTGTTGTACCTAAAACACAAAATTGCAAATGTTGCGAATTTGCCTTAAACAAGCTGTTCTCAATTACATTTTTAGAGAAAGCTCCACAGTGGATTGTCTGCTAGGTTTTACCCCAGGTTAATTCTTTCAACAGCTGGCTGAATGTCCCTGGGTATTTCACTCAGGTATCTGAATGTGCAGTGCACTTCTGATGGAGCGTAGCATGCACATGATTTGGGGCAGCCGCTGCTTCTGTGTGTTATATTGGCCAAAACACACAGTAGCCCCATGAATCTCCACAACAGACATGACTCTGCTGTCGGGCCACACATTCTGAAGAAGGAGGTCTGTTTCTTCCCTATTTTTTGACAAGCTTAAGTTGCCATTAATCATTAGCTTTCTGTAAGAAAAAAAATTAAATCTGTTAATCACCATTCACCACTGCTGACAAAGTTCTACATGACAAATGCCTTTTACATATTCTCCTGACACCAAGCATTACCTTTTTCAGAGAGAGAACGTATAACAAAAAAAATATTTTTATTCAACAATAAATGATTCATATATATATATATATATATATGAATATATAAATTATATATATATACAGTGTTCGAACTATACCGTGGACTTTGGGGGAGCCCGTTTTTTTTTATAACGGGGGGGGGGTGCATTGGTTCGTGCGCTTGCGCGTTCCTCAAAAGAGGGCTTTGTACAGAGCCGTGCAGTAAAGACCGATTAAATCGTCATACTGGAGAAACAGATGCAGACCAAGTAGATACGGTACCGAGATAATCTCAGCCAATTTATGTAATTTGTCACTGATGATGATTATTTGCACATTTGACACGAATTGTTTCCTCCGTGAAAATCCAGCACTAGGGACTTGTCGTGTTGAGTGGCGATAAAAAAAAAAAAATCATTAATAATATAGAGAAAATGCATTGTTTCTAGAGTTCAAAATGACAATTATTAATGTTGACACACTTACCTAATACACAGTTGAATTATTTAGATAATGCACATGAAACACTGTCCACATGATGAATGAATAGGCTAATCCGAAGGATTCCGGCGAGGAACAGTCGCTTCCTTCACTTTGTCGATGTACACTGTAGAGCATCAAGTGCGCTGAAGTGTTCGATTTAGTAGCGCGTGTCGGCTGATGGTTAAACTGAGAGTGAATCCTCCTCCTCGACCTCGTGCGGTCCGGTGACGCTCCGACTCTCACGCGCTCTGCAGTGCGAGATTTTCACACGGAGTAAAAGGAAAACATCGTCATCATAAGGAGAGTTTTCTTTTTCCTTCAGATTCTCATTTTCAGTCATTGTGAACCATGTCTGTGTTGATTTGTATAATCTGTCACAAAATGAAATGTCATATCATAGCAATGATGTGTGGATGTCGTGAAGATGCATCTGGTGTAAATATGTCAATGTATTCGCAATAATAAAACTTCTTTAAAATAAAAAATGCGGTCCGATGTTAATATAAAGGCAAATACTGAATTTTTTTTTTTTTTTTTTTTTTTTGAGTAAAGCATTGCATTTTGTTGTGTTTGGGCTGAAGGAAATGTCTGAAGGAAAAAGTATACTGGTAATTTTCTGCCAGGACATCTGATTTTTTTATTTTCTTTTTATTCTTCTTCTTCTTCTCCTCCTTCTTCTTCTGACAGCATTGAAATACATCTCGAAATATAGTCTTAAAATATTACATAATGCTTTGCATAGTCAATAAATGTTCAGTTTTTACAAGAAACCAGATCAAAGGAATTCTTAATATTTCTTAATAATTCACATATTTCTGTTTTAATTGTCCTATATTCATCAGGGACCAAGGTGCTTAGAACAATCTGATTGCAAACTACAAAATTGATAATGAAAACAGAAAAGGTCAGCACACCTAGGCTCAAATTACAAAAATATATTTGTACAGACTATCACACAGGTGACATATCAAACATGCAGGCTCTTCATAACACAATTAAAAGTTTTAACCCACATGCCATTATACAACAGGTGATTGATCACATGAGACACACGCACACACATACACACACACACAAACACATGCATACACACACACACACACACACACACACACAGAGAGAGAGAGAAAAGCCTAGTTTTGATCCTGGACTGTTTTATTGTTTGTGATCGATTGCTGCCTGCCCTGACCTTATGCCTGTTCATGGATTGCGCCTTGCCTTGCCTCTATTGTTGTGTTTGCTGATGATTGACTCTGCCTGTACAACTCAGATTAGAATAAAGCCTGCAAGTGGATCCTCAACCCTGTTGTCACGTTCTCCATTACAACATCAGAGATACTTTGATTTTAATTGAGCTTATTAATTCTGTGTCATTACCTAATTCTCCTGTTCTTTTAGTGACAATGGATTTAGAATCTCTTTATACGAATGGTCCATTTCATGGTGGATTAGAAGCCATGGATTTTTTTCTTGATCAATGTTCTAATGAAGTTAATAGTACTGCATGCTTATTAGATTTGACCAAATTAGTGTTGTCTATAATTGTTTTTTATTTGGGTCTGATTTTTATTTACAGATTTATGGTGTTAGCATGCGTTCGAAAATGGCCCCCAGTTTTGCCTCTCTGTTTTGTAGTTTGTTTGAACAAAAATGTGTGTATAACTGTAACGGGGCTGACGAGACGTGAGACGTGTGGATCCATCTGCAAGCTTTTATTTAAGAGACGTGGTCATAACAGGCAGGGTCGAACAATGGCAAACAGGTATATGGCGGGCAAAACACAAGAATAGTCCTAGGGCTAGCGTAGGTCAACGATCGGCAGACAGAATCACAGGGGCGAGACTAGAGGGATAAATCCAGGAAAACAGGCAAAGATCAGAAACCGAGAAAACAGACAAGGCAAGGCAAAGCAAGGCAAGGAAACACGGGCAGGATAACAGAAACTAGGAATAATAACCGGCTAAGCAATACTCGGCAGAGAATGGTTGTTTGAGTGAGTGTTAAATAGTGAACGTGTGATTGATGACAGCTGTGTGCAATAAGTGCTGTGTGCAATCAGTGCAATGAATGATGGGATATGTAGTCCGGGGTGCAATGCAACAGTGTGTAGTGCGAGAGTCAATGAAAATGGAAAGGGTGACCTCTGATGGCTAGCAGACGGAAGTTCATGAGGACAGGTAGCGAGTTCATAGATGGCCTCCTTGGCCGGAACAGAACAGGACGAGAGTTCATAAGTGAATACCACTGACACCTCTGGAGGTTCTGCAGCGGATGATAGGGATACCTCTGATGGCTAGCAGACGGAAGTTCATGGACCGGATTCGTGACAATAACTCAAGTTGTAATCTTTTTTTGTTTGTTTGTTTGTTTTTGTTATGTAAATGTTACATTGATGACTTTTTTTTGTTTTGTTTTTGTATGGGACAGTACTGAATCTCAGCTGTTGGAATTTCATAAACTGGTTAATGACAGCTGTAGTGCACTGAAATTCACGATTGAATACCATCCATTTTCTAGATGTGTTTATTAGCAAGACTGTGTCAGGTCTAAAAAAAAAAATTTACAGTCTATACTGTAAACCTACTGATAATACATTTTTGCATGGTACATCCTACCATCCTTTGTCATTAAAATGTTCTTTAGAAGACTTTGAACACCTGTTTTCTTTCTTATTTCTTACATTTCTTAAAGTACTTTTCGGCAATTATAGATGTGGTAACTGTCAACAGTTAACTTCACCTATCAAACTTTTAAGCATCCTCACACTGATACAATTTTCAAAATAAGAGGCACTATTTTATGCAAAACCTACAGTGTGATTTACAGTATATGTTGCGTTGCCCTTGTGGTCTTTGCTATGTGGGCAAAAGGAGTAGAGCTCTTAAAACACAGATTTCTGAACATTGTTGTGCTGTTAAAAATCAAGTTTTCAAAAGTCCAGTCGCACGGCATTTTGCTGTTTTTATACATTTGGTCTCTACAGTACATAGGGATAGAATTAGTTAAGTGTCCAAGGCGTGGAGGTAACATTAATAATTTACTTTTGAAATGTGAAACTTTTCACTTTGACAGTCAGTTTGTTTTTTTTGTTTTTTTGATTGCAGGTAACATTGATATTATTGTTGTATGTTTAGAATTAATTTAGTATTTTCCTTTTTATCACTCTTTATGTTTCTTTGTGTGTGTGTGTGTGTGTGTGTCACAAAAACAAACCTGTGTGTGTGTGTGTGTGTGTGTGTGTGTCGTGTGATTAATCACCTGTTGTCTGATGAAAAGCTTGAGTGTTTGAAATGTCACCTGTGTGATAGTCTGTCATTATTTTTTTTTGTATTTTTGGAGCCTTGGAGTTTTTATTGTCAGTATTTTGTTGTTGTTGTTGTTGAGAACCCTGCTTAAGAGTTTTTCCAGTGATGTGTGTGCTTTTGTTTTAATTTTGTTTTTGCTAAACTACAATATTGTGTAATGTTTTAGGAAAAATGTTGTAGTCCCTCTCTCCATGTATTCTCCAAACTGCATATCCTCTACAGCAGTGGTCGCCAACCCGTGGATCGCTCATACACTATGTACGTATGCACTATGTACTCAACCATGTAGTGTATGAATTATATAAGGTTCTTTTGTTATTCATAATCAGAGTCTGATAGCCCCTCCCCCTTCGGTACGTAATTAAAGCTGTGACAGTTGAGTGCATGAAGTGTCCAACATTCAACACTTTGTTTTTTCGGTTATTTAATTGCATCATCCGGGTATTTAAAGTACAATACTCGCAAAATTTATACTACAAAATGTCATTGAATAGTGCATAAGTACGTGATTTGGGACGCACCTTGAGTTTGCGCCATCTAGAGTTTCATAACTGAACTTTGGATTTAGCATCTAACCAGATGTGCAATATGGCCAGTTACCATAAAAGTGCAAGTGGCATCATGAGGTAGAAATGTACAAAAGAATGTGCAGTGTGGAGGTTAAGTGGCCTAAGTTAAATGTAGTGTTCAGCGCCTGAGTTCAGTAGGCTGA